TGTATGAAATTATTAGGAAAATTATCATGAAAAACTGTAGGTGGGTAAAGCTCATCTACCAGAGAATGGAGCTTGTCTATCATTTCCTTGTCTGCCGAACATGAAGCTGTTGGTGGATGGGTAAAACGATGTTTAAAGCTTTTAACAACCGACCATACTCTTGAAATAGGAGTATGTCTATCTAAAGAATTGCAAAATGTTTTAAAAGATTCTCTTTTAGCTTCATTAACAGTGCGTTTGACTATCGCTTCAGATTTTTTATATTCAAGAAAATTTTGGTAATTAGAAGATTTTTTATAATTTGACAAAGCTAATTTACGATTATTAATAGCCTCATCGCATTTACCATTCCACCAAGGTGCTGGAATGAAAGGTTTTTTAGAATGTGGCCTGTTACCTAGTGTGTGGTGTGAAGGTTTGTGTTGAGGACAGGCAAATTTGACTGAGCTGTCCACGATGTCTGTGAATAGGTTATAGTCTGCGATGGGATCTGTGGTGTTTAAAAGGTTTGAATTGGATTCTACAGATAAACGGATTTTTTCAGAAAAAAGTGTCCAATTGATTGATTTGAGGTTATATTTGTGAGAAGAAAAAGTGAAAATGGGTATAGAGATGCCTAGAGATGAGAATATTGGGAAGTGATCACTGCCCAGTGTGTCATTGTGTATGGACCATGAAGAGAGAGTGTAAAGGTTTGAGGTAACAAGTGACAAATCCAATGCTGAACCAGGGCTCGGTGGGCGACCTAAGTAAGTAGGGGAGCCGTTGTTTAAAAGAATAAAATCAGAGGTATCCAATTGGTCACATAAATTTTGCCCGTTTATGCAGGTCTGGGAGCTTCCCCAAAAGGTATTATGACTATTAAAGTCACCTCCTATGAAGACAGACCTGAAACCGGAATTTTTAATAGAATCGAAAAAAGATTTCCAAACATTAATGGAAGTTTGTTTACCCGGTACTCTATAAGCTGAGATCAACAAAAGCTTACCCAACGATGAGTCAATAGAGACAGCTAGTGTCTCCAAATCGTCTTCTCGGGTATAGATTGTGTTGATTCTTGAAAAAGTTAAGTTTTTACGAATGGCGATGACCAGGCCACCACCTTTATTTACTAATCTATCAAGTCTAATAATATTAAAATTTTTAAGAATATTAAGGTTATCGCGTCTATCCGGTTTCAGGAAAGTTTCGCAGAGAAGGAGAATGTCGAACTTGTCTGAAATTTTGTGAATTTCGTGTGTCTTGTTAGAGACACCACGACAATTCCATTGCAGTATGTTTAATTTAGGGAGATTGGCCATGTTTGTCCGTTGAAGGAACAAGTAAAAGGCGGAGGTTATCTTTGATGTTGGTGAGAAGAGAATGTCTTTGTTTAGCATCATCAGGAGAAGAATTGGGAGAGGAAAGTGACACCTGGTTGTTCAACCAGGAGATGATAGAGGAGAGTGAGTAGGAATCTAGGTTTGGTAAAGAGGAGTGGTTAGAAGATGTAGAAGGTGGTAGAGGTAGAGATGCTTGTGTGAAGTTTGAGAGAGCAAAACCGTTTGGAAGCATGATTTCCGATCTTCCATTGTCCCAATTGGAGGCAAAGAATGAAGAAGCGGAGCTTCTTAAAGGTTTTGTCATGTTTTTGTGTTTGTGAGTTTTGTTTGTGGAGGATGGATGAGTAAAGTTTTGTTGCTGAGCTGTTTGTGAGTATGAACGAGACTGGGATTGCGTTTTTGTAGGCTGAACTGATGACGGCGTTGGACAATCTCCCAGATCTGGAAACTCAGAAAAGTTAAAAGAACTCGAGAGGTTCGAGGTTGTTTTTGGACTGAGGAATTGTCGTGCTTCACTGAAGGACAATCTGTGCATTGTCGCGTAATAGCGAATTTCCTTCTGTTCGACGAACTTTGGGCAGAGTTTTGAAGATGTCCTGTGTGGACCTTTGCAATTCAGGCAAGTTGGGGAATCCGAAGTTTGGGGACATTTGTTTGAATCGTCGTGTGGGGTTGTGCTACCGCATTGTTAGCATCTAGCTTTGGATCGACAATTTTTTGCTATGTGTCCAAAACGGAAACATTTCAAACACATTCGGGGATCGGGTACGTAAGGACGGACCGGACTAGAGCCTTTGAAGATTGCAACGCGTTCCGGGAAAGTTGTACCTTGGAAGGTAAGAAGCACGGTGGTAGATGGTTCATGTGAGACAACTTTGGCCTCATTAACGACTTTCCTGTTGAAACGCATGACATTGATTATTTTGCAATCTTTCCCGATTTGACCTAAAACTTCGGCATTCTCCAAAATTTCCTCGTTAGAGATGTCCAGACCGATATTATTTATAATACCCTGACATGTGACAAAGCTATTCGGAATTAACGCAACTAAACCTTTTGATTTTAAAGTGGGGTCCGAGACGATTTGATTAGCGGCCCTACCACTGTTCATTACAACACGCACCTTACCACGACCGCTTGGGTGGATACTGACGACTTTACCGGGGTAAAGCGCGTGCAGTGTCTTGCCGATAGAAATGTGGTTGAGATCTTTGTTTGCATCCGTTGAACTCGGATCACGCTGGATAAAAACTGGACAATTTCCTTTATCAAAATTTCCGTACTTTGCAGGCTTCTGGTTGCTATTTTTGGGGTCAAGCGAAATTTTCGACCGAGTTGAAGGCGGGACTTTGTCCTGTAATGAATTGCCATCGCGAATACGTTTCGCTGCTGGATCTGAATCAAGGGACGATGTCGAATTCTGGCGCGATCTAATTTTAGAATTTTGTTGCATAAAAAGCAAACCTTCAACTGCTTTCTCTACTTCCGACCCACCACCGTGGTCGCCGACATCCATTTCCGCATCGACAGAGGCCATGCCTCGATCACACACGCACAGCCCGGTGGCTGGCGTTAACCTATAAACAACACACTTATAATATACTTATATACTTACACACTTATATTATACAGTGCCTGTGAAGCAGGCAGTACACAATACTTTAGGCTTGAATAACAGGGCCCACGACGGGAACTGAGATCAATAAATAAGCACCGAAGACCGGAGAAACGGTAAAAACTTTAACGAGCAAAAGTAACGCGTCTAACCGATACCGCTTACCAAGCGGAACCTCCGCTCTAACACCTTGGGTAGAAACGCGCAACGCACACTGCGCATGCTCTACAGAATTTTCAAGCGCAGTCAACTAATCTTTCACGTACTTTATAAAACTGAACAAATGACATTTCGTTAAAATTTAAAAAACACTGTTGCCCATACTAGTACTAGAATAACTCTAGGACTTTTCTATATTTTCTAATAAAAAGTATATGATACAGCCTTGTATTTTGTGTCCTATCCAAAAGTCAAGCACTTTCAAGGAAGGATTCACGTACTTTTTTTCCGTGCATGGGGTCTAATGATATTTTTTGACTTTAACAATTTGTTATAAACAAATGAAGAAAAATTGACTTTCCTAAAAAACTGATAGCGCCATTCGATTCTACGCAAAAAACTACTACGAGAACGTATATTACATAATTTTTAAAAAAAGACATATTTTTGTAAAAATGTCATAAACATTTATACTGTATGAGGTCTAAGGATAGCTTTTGAGGTGAAAATTTTGTTTAAAAAATTTTTAACGTCATAAACTCGCCTAATTAAACTAATTTTGTTTAAAAAAATCTTTAACTTCAAAAACGATCCTTATAGCTCATACAGTATATGAAGGAAGGCTAATTACTTATAACATTTTTACAGCAATAGGTCTTTTTTTAAAAATTATGTAATATATGTTTTCGTAGTGATTTTTAGCGTAGAATCAAATAGCGCTATAAGTTTCTTATAAAAAACAATTTTTCTTCATTTGTTTATAAAAAATTGTTAAAAAAATATTTTTTTAACATTCAATGACAAAAATTATCATTAGATCCCATGCCAGGATTCCAATAGTTACTTTTATTATATCTGCATTCCTTTGCTTATAGGCATCAATGGGTTAATGTAAAAAATTTTTTCCTTAAAGCATTTTTTTAGTTAGTAGAAAATAAATTTGACACAATAACGTTTGACTTTTGTTCCATTGAAGACCATAAAAATGAGAAATATAAGCCTGGGTAAAGTGTCGAGGAAAAGATTTTTTACAATAAAAAAGGAAAATAGATTAGATAATAATAATATATACGTGTATATAATTAATAAATGTATTAGGGGCGAGCAGTAAAGGTCATATCATCTTTTATAATACACTGATATAGGTGCTGCTTAGTTAGCGCAACGCACATAAACTCGTAGCGCAAACTTCAAAAATTTTTTCCTCAAAAGCATCAAAAATCACTTCTTTAAAAATTCAACCACTTATTAAGGAAGGTTCAAATTTTGAGAAAATAATTTTTCTAGAAAATTCTATGATGTCCTTTGCTTTTTTTTAACAATAAAAAATTATTGTTTAAACAAATTATTGAAAAATTAATTTTTCTTTACTTTTTTTTAATATTATAAAAAATTGACATTTTCTCTCCAATTTTGAATAAATGACTTTTTCTTGTAGAATCAATAGTTTTCGAAATAAAAATTCTCAAAAAAGTCATTTTTTTCAGTTTCCAATTTTTCAAATCTAAATATCTTGCAAAAAAAATTCTTTTTTGCAAAACTGTTTGGCACAGTTATTAAACGTACCCCAAGTACTACAAAATTACAAACTTTAAGAAAAATCGGTGATCCGCCATTTGCTTTTCGTATGGAACTGCCCACGTGGAATTGCCTATATATTATATTTATTTATTTATTTACATCATCTTTCCCGCAGTTTAAGATGGACCATACATGGGTTACGAAAAAAATAAAATTAATTATTACACAATACTTAAGTCTAAAAACAAAAATTAAATTGATAGTAGAATTTGAGAACGACATTGTCAACAACAGTTGTCAATATAAATATCAAGGGCAGATTGGAAAGTGATAAGAATTTATATGGGGTTTCAGCCATGATTCTGTTAATACATAGATAGAGTACAATAAAATGTCTTGGTAACAATTAACTAATAGTTGTTTAGAATTTAAACCACGGACATTTTGATAATAAATTTTTATTGATGTATGTTTTTGATGAGTCACTTGTTGACTATGATATATGTTTGTTTCGCCATTCTGAAGACGGGTTTGGAATTCCTTTTTTATTCGTTGATAGTTGCTTTGTTGTTGTTTTGTGCGGTCGGGAGCAAGTGAGATTTGGACTATAGTTGGAGGTAGTTGCGATTGTTTTCTCAATTTCAGGAATAAATCGCGAATCTGCGAAACATAAAATTCATGTGGAAAGGCACTTTTATTGGCCTTGGCTTTAATTGAGAAGTAGAAAAAGTGCCGAGACGTCTAATTTTTATATTATGAGAGTCGATAGAAGAGGACAGAAGAGAAAGCAAAGAATTGACAGAAGATAAGTCAGATTCATGCGCATTGAGAGTAAAAGATTGAGCAGGTTCATTCATGCCGTATATCATAATATTTTTACGTCTTAATAAACGGTCTTCCACTTCACTAAGGCAGGAGTCGATTGGAAAATTAGCAACATTGTTGACAGTTGATAATTCTTGAAATTTTAGTTCTAGTGATGTAACGCGATCAGCTGTTTCTGCAGTGCTGCTGATGCATCTTTCAACTCTTTCGTTGATTGTGTTTAAGTTTAAGTCCATGTTAGTGATTTTCGTAGAAAAGCCTTGTATATTGCCATTTATGTGTGCCATAAAATCTTGTAGTTCCCCTCTCATGACGGAGCGTATAAACTTGAGATGTCATCAGTAGGTGAGGGACATGGTGATTGTGTGCTACAACACTTCTTGAATCCGCCGTTTGAGGCGTTGGGATACTTGACTGTACAACGCAAATGGAAGGGAGCAGAGCACACAGGGCAAGGCGTACACGGAAAAAATTTCGGTCCACCGGTTTCGCTGCCTATAGTACACCTGTTGTACTAACGTTCAGATGTAAATGATATCCCGGATTCCATGCGTCATATGCGCCGAAAACAGGGACGTATATTGTCCCCAATGTTGAAGACAACACTTGAACGTTAACAGAGACAAATGCAGTGAATCAAGAAAATAACTACAATTTAGAATCTCAGTTATTGAATTTTGTGAAGAAATTCTTTTAAGGATTTAAAATAACCGTGTATATTAATTTTATAATTGATTAATTAATATTATAAATTCAAATTATTATTTAAATTAATCCAAAAGACGAAAATATATATAAATAACTTTATAAAATTATTATTATGAAAATTTTTAGTATTATATTATTATTAAATTACACTGCAAAAATAAGTATCTTATTTGATATCTTAAAATAAGATGTAAGATGGAAAAATGGTATCTTACATTTTAAAATAAGATGTTTTCTAAAGTATCTTACTGATTTTTAAGATGCTTTATACGTCTTATTTCTTCTATCTTAAAAAAGTAAGATACTTCCTGTAAGTTTTTTAAAGTATCTTAAATTAAGATGTTTCTGTCTCAATAAGATGTTTAGCTATAGGTTACTTGTGAATTGTAAGATGCGAAAAAAATTTAAGTTACTAAAACCTAAGATGCATAAAATGTTTTACATATAAGCCCATAGTTAACCTCAAAACTTTTTTCCCAAAAAATATGCTGAAAATGTGTATGAAGATGCTTTTAACATCTTAAATTAAGATATTTTAAATGACTAAAAAGTGACTACCATAATATCTTAGAAATGACTACCAAAACATCTTAATTAAGATACTTCTTTTTGCAGTGTATATAATTTTATTTAAATTATTGTTATTAAAATTGTAAATTATTTCTGAAAAATTTTTTAAATTTAAAAAAAAATTATTCTGTTAAATAAGAATTAGTATAAAAATAAAATTTTTGAAATGTTTAAAAAATAAGGATAAAATAAAACAAAGTAGTTGTTTAAAAAAATAGTAAAAATATTTTTTTTTGTCTACACGGAGAGAAAAATCAAGCGTTTGTAGTATGGACAGTTAAGCTTATTTCGTAAAAGAATGCACATGCGCAATATGCGTAAAACTTCTGCTGTATTTGTATAAATTTCTACGTTATCAGCATAAAAGTTCTACCTGTAACGCATGGGACGTCAGTATACTACGATTGCAAGAGATCCATGCTTTTTTAGTATATGTTTCATGCAACTGAGGTATAAAAACATGCCTCTTTAGCAGGACGTTCATACAAAATTAGCATAGGAAGTCTCCATACTACAAACGCTTGATTTTTCTCTCTGTGTACATATGTTTTAAATGCCTACACTGTAATTATTATCTTTATAAGATAATAATAATGCCATTTTTTCAAGAAAATCATATACGCGACAGCGCATGTACAATATAGCACTGGTCCCAGATTTGGAGACAAATGTTAGACTCCATTCAAAGTTCAACGCTTGCGCAGCATTAACACGACTGACGCACTGAAACAGGGACGAAATATGTCTCGGTTTAAGAGATAAAATTTGAATCGCCTACTAACACAACGGATGTACCTTAACGTACAAACGGTGCACCAAAATTTTTTCCGTGTAGGTGATTTAACTTTGAGATTGCATTGCGTACACTTAATTGTGGAGCCATCTGTAGGTTTTGTCACAGAGAGATGGCTAGGATCACTTGTCAGCTGGAATGACTCCGACATTGTATTAAAGTACAGCCACCTTATAAGGTACAAAGTACAGTCAAATACAACTACAGGCGTTATGCTTTTATGTAGAGTATGAGATGCAGCGGGGGCCTGCACAAGAATGCAATAAAAGTGGATTAATCGAATTCAAAGTATTTCGAATTGGTCAATCAAATTGCACCATCACACGCGCACATAGTCGGAAAACCAAAAAAAATTATAACACATGCGGTTGCACGACGTTGCACAAAACGAAAAAGGGCCACTGCTATGGATGTAGCAAGCGAACTTTTAAGTTTTATAACAGAAAAAATGCACAAAACACAAAGAAAAAACGCTCACCAGTAGCGCATAGTTTATTCAAGTCAAAACAAGAGGTAACGATACACATTGGGGCTTACTGGTCAATCGAAATTCGCAAAAAAATTGACAAACTGTTGGAGAGCGATGTAACTCGCGTGCCGTCTCTTTAGCTATATTGAAAATTATAGAATTAATTACAATTAAAGTTGAAGTTGAAAAATTCACTTTTTTTACTAAAAATTTTTTTGTTTATTTAGATTCATATTACTGTATAAGAAAATTTTATTGTTCCTATTAAGACGAATGAACTTTATTTTATAAATGTTAAATTGTATTAAAAATGATTTAAAAATTAAATATACTTGTCGTTAATGCTTCCTCCACGAGGAAGCAAATTTTTTTTGCTGATCGAAAAAAGGAAGTAAAATGTTCATGGGTAAGACTCCGTCAGAAAAAAAGCGATTTGCAAGTCAGTGGTCTTCCGATTTCTTCGAAACCTTGGGAAATAGAAGTCTTATATGAATTAAATTTAACCCTAAAAGGATTTTGAAAAATTTTCAAAATGGCGGCCGCTACGCCATATTGAAAATGAGTGTTGCGTTTTTTTCAAAAATTAATAAATCTGAAACTTTTTGATCGATTTTAATAAAATTTACAGGCGATATAGTTAAAAATACGTAGTTTAATTTGATATTATGAACAAAAAAAAATTTCCAAAATTTGTCAAAAAAAAAGTCAAAAAAATTTTTTGAATTAATTTTTAGTTCAGTTGGCCTAATTTTTGAATTTTCTAATAAGTAAATATCGATTCCTTGTAATTTCACCTTTCATTTCATAAAAAAAAATTTATGGAGACTCTAATAGTTCTCGAGATATTGCGACTTTAGTGGGAGCGCGTACCGCGGAATTAAACTCCGTAGCGAGGCGGAATATGAAGCGAGCGTACAAACGTGCACAATAGGGTGTCCGTAACAATGCGACTTTCGAATTTTGTTTACGCCACCCCCCAGTTTAGTTCCAATAAAATAAAAAAAAATTTCCCAAAATTTGAAGCCGACTGATTAATATTAACACGTGCCAGAGATCCATCGAAATTTCCCATTAAAAATACATAGGAAAAATGCACTTTTTAAAAAAAAATTCATAACTTTTTTAATTTTCATGCAAAAAATTCTCCAGGTCTCATTTGCCTTCATTTTTAGCTGCACTATAAGATAGCACTTTGCCAAAAATTTAATTTTGAAAAATTTTTAAAATGGCGGATGATTAAAGTGGGTCATAAAAATGCACCACAATATGTCCAAGATTTTAACACATAAGTGTTGTCAAAAATTCAAAAAAATTTCTTACTCGGGGCTATTTTCGATCGTTTATCATGAATCTGATATTAGAAATTAATTTTCAAAATTTTGGATCCAATATGGCGGGTTCAAAGTTTTGATTTTCTACATTTTTAAAGTAAAAATTCTAAAACAACGTCAAGGGCGATTTTTGGAAGCGCTATTTACACTCAGAGAAAAAGTTTATTTCACTTAACCAAACTGTTTAATTAACCTATTTTATTTGTCAGAATAAAACAATTTTGTTGATTTAAATAAAAATTTGGTTTATTTTAATAAATACGTAAAATTTGTTTGGTTATTGGAAAGAAATTTTTTATTTGAAGTTGTTTGTTTCATTTAACCAAATTTGTGTTTTGAATAGAGAATATTGTTTAGTTAAATATAGTTTGTTCGACACAACACAAAAATTTGTTTGATTCAACCAAATCATTTTATTTGAGTCAAACAAACATATTTGCTTGTTTCAAAAAGTACATGTGTGAATTTAAAAATGGCGATCTCACTTGTCTACAGTCCGCGTTCGCGTCAAATTTATTTGTTAAGTAGAGTCTACATTCCATGGTACGCGAACGTGAACGTGTACGCGAACGTCTGACGTCACCCATGCTATTCAAATGGGTGACGTCAGCACGGCAACGTTCGCGTTCATCCAATGTAGACTCTACTTTAAATCGGTAAATCAAAGAAAAAAATTATAAGTGTCGGTTAAATAAATACATTGTGTTCATTTTAGACTTACTGCATATTTAATTTGTACCAGTGAGAAGAATATTTACAAAAACGTTTTGTGAAGTTTTCAGTTTGTTGTTTCGAATAAACTTTTTTCTGAGTGCACGTATAAAAATCATAATTATAATATGTTTAATGTAATATTTCAAATGTTTTTTTATAATTAAATAATTTTGTTTATATGAAGAAATACATATATAATATTTTACTTAATTGTTATTTATTTTCCTCTAATAATGTTTGAGTTTCCTAATTTAATATTTTCTAGTATACACTACCGTCGGAAATTTTCGGTCCGATCGACTGAAGAGGAGAAAAAAAGACAGCTCCACTAAAATCATAATAACTTTGACAAAAATTAAGATAGAGTCTTGAATTTTGCAGATTTGTAAAGCTTATAAAATTTTGAATAAGATAAGATTTGGTCTAATTTTTTTTAACGTTTAAAACTAGTTATATTATTTAATTATTTGTAGTACAAAATTCTCAAAATTTTCAATTATCGTTCGATATGTTTAGTCCGTTGCCTGATCTACAAAAATAATAGGAAAAATTTGGAACTTATACCATTTTGTTAAAAAAATTGTCACCTTTAATTTGAGCCTAAGAAAAGTAAAAAATATTAATCCGTCTCCGAGATATGATTAAAAATGTCCGCGTATGTTTTTCTCGTCATTGAACCATCGATCGCCGCGGATCCCGTCTATTGCTTTCTCTCCTTCGCCTCCCCAGGGCCGAATAGGCGTCTCCCAAAGTGGGTGGTTACTTGGAGCCCCTTATACATTCTTTTTTCCCTAAATTATAGTTATGGTCTGAATTTTTTTCCACTATTAGTCAGACTTTAATTAAATAATGTTATTATTATTAAAACAAATGTATAAACAAATTATTGTTGTTAATAATTGTTTCTATATTTTAGAATTAACCTTGAATAATGCAGTTTTTCGTCATTTTTACAATTTACAATGCTAAAAATATTTTTAAAATAAAATTTATTTCTTATTACTTATTAATGAACTGAGTTCATAATAATTATAAATTGGTACATTATAGATTTTTTCTAGAAACATTTTATTTCTTTGACTTGCTTTGAATTGTATACTTCTCAGATGTAACCAAAACAATACACGGTGCTTTTTAAACCGATTTAACTGAAAGGTTCTGGCACCTGGAATTTTCTTCCTGATTTCGATTCTAGATCACAAGTACATCATTTTCCAACAAAAACGAAAATCTTCTGTGGAGCCGTTTTTAAGAAAAGTTGATTTAAAAATTCAAAACAACGAAAAGTCAGCTTTTCTTCAAGAAATATATATAAGCATCTGTGCTTATAGCTCAGGATCAAGCATATCAAAAACGAATATTTGATAGCAGAAGAAAGAAGCCCAGAACTTACAAAGTGGGTGATTTGGTCCTAATGGAAAGAAATCTAGTTGCGACTGGAACGAGTAAAAAATTGCAACATCCTTATTGTGGCCCTATGGTGGTTACAAAAATTTTGCCGAATGACAGATTTGTGGTCAAGGACATGGAAGGATCGCACAGGCTTAATCGTCGAAGAACTTATGAATACGTCATTTCGGTTGACAAGATGAAACCATGGTGTCCATCAGAAGGGTTATCCGATGTTACCGATAGTGATAGTGGAGATGATGGAGTCCCTCTCAAATCGGATGATGATGACAGTCACCTCGAGACGAGCTGAATTGTAGGATGGCCGAATGTAAGGTTGGATATTCAAGGCAACCTTATTTTTCCCTTACTATTCTCAAAAGTTGGGAACTGCCCCCACTCTATCCACAGACGGGTCACTGACCTGACGAGCAGAGTTCAGTTTGGGACTACGCTTCGATTGCTGCGGATGTCTTTTTTTGATTACGTGTTAATTAAGTGAAATAAGTGTTTTTTTCTCACCATCGGATATTTGTATGTATTTTATTATTCAATTGTTGTATTTCTTTTTTTTGTTCTGTTACACTGTTGCGAGTTTCTGCCCTTCAGTGTTTTTCTTTGTCTATTCAATAATTTTATGTTTCCACGCTGTCGTGCGTTTCTGCCCTTCAGCGTTGGTTTTTCTTTCTCTATTTAATAATTTTATGTTTCCACGCTGTTGTGAGTTTCTGCCCTTCAGCGTTGGTTTTTCTTTCTCTATTTAATAATTTTATGTTTCCACGCTGTTGTGAGTTTCTGCCCTTCAGCGTTGGTTGTTCTTTGTTCTATTTAATAATTTAATGTTTCCACGCTGTCGTGAGTTTCTGCCCTTCAGCGTTGGTTTTTCTTTTTCTATTTAATAATTTAATGTTTCCACGCTGTCGTGAGTTTCTGCCCTTCAGCGTTGGTTTTTCCTTTTTCTATTTAATAATTTAATGTTTCCACGCTGTCGTGAGTTTCTGCCCTTCAGCGTTGGTTATTCTTTGTTCTATTTAATAATTTAATGTTGCCACGCTGTCGTGAGTTTCTGCCCTTCAGCGTTGGTTATTCTTTTTCTATTTAATATTCAATGTTGCCATTTTGCTGACTATTTAATATGGGTCCTAGGAAGATATGTTGATTTGTAGACATTTGGCTCTATTTATTGTTCGAGGAATTAGTATAAATGATTTAAACTTCAGTCTTGAATGTTTATTTCACACATATTCCCGTTTTGCCACGCTGTCGTGGGACTCCGCCCTTCAGCGTAGAATGGGAATATTCAATTTTAACCTAGTCCCTTCAAATGATAAATTCGTTTATATTACAAATAACCTTAAATTATTAAACAGAAAAAAAATCAGTTTTCTTGTGAGGTTCTCGTAGGGTCCTCGCGACATTTCTCAGACAAGATCCGAGTGTCACAGAAAATCCCGGGTCCCAACCAGTTCCCTACATTTTTCCTTACTAGACTCAGATAAGTAAAAGGAAAACTTTACAAGGCCCCTATGAGAATCCTGCTACAATTTCTACATGGGAATCTTAAAATCCTGACAAAAAACTACGAGAAATGATTTTTCGATCTCAGATAACGGGATTTTTTTTTTGCACACGGAAAGAAAAGGTCTGGAAGAGATACAGTACCGTCCTAAATTGTCAGTCCACCTATTTTTAAAGGAATGAAAAAAAATTTTTAACATAAAATTCATGAAAACTAAAATTTTTTTAGTTTATATTTTGAAAGAAGATAAAATTTTGAAAAAAATAAGACCTTACAGAAGTCATTTGGCCAACATTTGTAGAAGACATTCTTAAAAATCGTCATTTTCAATGTTTTACAAAAATTTGAATAACTTCTAAAATAATGAACGCTTTTTAATAATCTTAGGCTTATTTTAAAGGTCATTTTCTACGGAATAAGAATTACTTATAGGCATTAACCTGTAATTCTTTACTTGGAATAAGCATGACGTCAAAGTTGGACAAAAAAATTAAAAAAATTTGAAATAATATTATTAAAAGAAAAATAATTTTTGAAATTCAAACATATTTTTTTATTAAATTTTCTTGAAAAATCTACATCATATCATGTTTTATTATATATATGTTCTAGAATAGTTTTTAGTACAAAAAATTTATTTCAAATTTTTCCAATTTTTTTGTCCAACTTTGACGTCATGCTTATTCCAAATAAAAAATTACAGGTTAATGCCTATAAGTAATTCTTATTCCGTAGAAAATAACCTTTAAAATAAGCCTAAGATTATTAAAAATCGTTTATTATTTTAGAAGTTATTTAAATTTTTGTAAAACATTGAAAATGACGATTTTTAAGAATATCTTCTACAAATTTTGGCCAAATGACTTCTGTGAGGTCTTATTCTTTGCAAAATTTTATTGTCTTTCAAAATATAAACCAAAAAAAATTTGAGTTTTTATAAATTTTATGTTAAAAATTTTTTTTTCTTCCTTTAAAAATGGGTGGACTGACAATTTTGGCCGGTACTGTATCCATAAAAATATTGTTGAGCAGAATATTGTTGTGTTATCAAATTCAATGGAAAAGACAACTTTCAGAATAAAAGCACATTCCATATTCAATGGATGAGGGAGCCATATTATATTGTTGAGTCAAATATGGATGTGACATCCATAGGCATGGTTGGGCTTACAATTCATGTTATGGATTTTCACATATGGCTGCCTCATCCATATAAACTTTGGTTGGGAGATCCATAGTTAGTTCAAAATTAGATAGAAAGTGTTTGTCATTGTTTATCTCAGAAATTGAATCTTATAAATTTTTGAAATTTCGGCTATTCCTGTCCCAAAAATTATGTCTTTTAATAAGTTGTTACAAGGAAACTGCTTTTTCGTAAGTAAAATACATATTATAATATGTGTTTCATTCATCTTTTAGTTAGCAGTCGCCCTGTATTATTTACACGGGCGGAACATCGTTCAGAGAAGATGCGCGTCAACTGTGAAGTTTAGTAATGTTTCCACAGGGCGGACATAATCAATGTTGAGTCACATTCGAAATTTTGGATATCCCTAGGATTTCCTTAAGATATCTTAAGATATCCCTGGGACATCCTACGGATATAATATTTTCCGGATACCCTGAATATCCGGTTGCTGTTAGGGTTGTGAATTAATAAAACATACATCAAACTAATATATAAATGAAATTGAATAGAATTGAATGGAAATTTAAATACCGAAATTATATTCGACGATTTCGAAAAGATAAAAGTATTTTGCTGTTTCTGCGTCTAATCCAACTCGACAGCAAACAGCATCGTAGACATCTTTTACAGGGGCTGCTTTAGCTACAGTGACGGTGACCACTTCTCGATCAGGAAGTAGAATTTTCAAATCCACCGCAGGTCCTTGATCACCATCCTCTTCTAATCTGTCTGTGAGAAATTCCTGCATTGCATCACTTTCAGCTATAACTCTAACTGCACAAACTTTCTCTAAATACTGTTCCAATCCTCGTCTTCTTGCATCTAATTGTTGCTCGCTTAATCTAAAATAAATATTCTTTGGTTATGTCCAAATATTAGGCTATTCAATAGTTTTTGGCTACTTTACAGCATTGTATTACCTCCAATTTTCAAACTCGATTTTTTACTTTTCTTTACGTTTTCTGACCTTAAGAATTCAAAAATCACATTTTTGAAAAATATCATTCCGTGTGTGCGAGTATGTGCTAATAATAATATTTATACAACTCAGGCGTATTATGGTCACCTTGTCTACCTGTACAGGCGCGTACTAAGTTCCCCCTTATAACCCAGCAGTCAATAATGTAACCATTATAGACCTACGGAGATAAAGGGTATATTATTGACCGCTCCCAGGTTAATAAAGTACCCTTTATCTCCCTAGGGCAATAATGGTTACTTAATTGACCAGCTGGGTTATATGGAAGAACTTAGCATGCACCGGTACAGGTAGCATAGAGTAACCATAATACGCCTTTGTTGTATAAAGCAAAGTATGGAACAAGGGAGGTAACCTCGTTTATGACCTCGCACAATATTGTGCTCGGTACATAAACTCGGACGTACCTGCCTTGTTGCATAACGTACTATAAATTTTTATAAATTATATGTCGAGCTCTATAAAATATGCTAGTTATATCTGAGATTCTCCAAAAAGTCTATTTTATTTCCTCATTTAATAACTAGAAAATTATTATTCAGATACTTATAAAATATTATAGAGTTATTTTTTATCCTCCCAGTTAAAAAAAAGTATTGGAAGAGAGCGAATAGTATTGGCGGTGAGTATTGCCAATACGTTTTCGCGTGAAAACCGTATTGGGGGCATTCTGCCAATCCTGCTTTTTCGCCTTCAATACTGTCCTCTTGAATCTTTCGATTTCACGTTTATTGACTCGACTTGAGTGTGTACTATTTGATCTATTACCACATGATTTAGAGAGCTTTCGACGTTCGCGCTAGGGGCGCTGTAAGTATAAGTCACAGCGCTTATCTAGAAAATACCCTAAATCATATAGTAATAGACCAATAGTTTGTCACATTTCATTTATTTACATTTTAACAAAATTTTATATTTCCTGTTCGTTATCAGCATTTTTACACATTAAATCAATCAGTCTTTTTGATTAAAATGCCAAATCGAGTCAATAAACGTGAAATCGAAAGATTCAAGAGGACAGTATTGACGGTGAAAAAGCAGGATTGGCAGAATGCCCCCAATACGGTTTTCACGCGAAAACGTATTGGCAGAAACTCACCGCCAAATACTATTCGCTCTCTTCCAATACTTTTTTTTTTAATGGGCTAGTATTTATTAATAGGTATCGAAAACAAAATGCATATACTTTTTTTGTTTTATAATCTTCAAACATTTTAAAATTATTAAGAAAATTCACTTTTGCAGTTATCATCATGGGACTTGCCAAGATCGCAAATTTTGTTATCCATATGCTAGGAGTAATTTTTTTGTACCTCCAACGTGAAAATGTTCCCAGGAATGAAACCGAGAAATTATTCTTTTTTTTTGTTAATTAATTTTACAGTTCAAAAAAATTATATGCTTATAGTATCGGCCGAAATTGTCTTTTCCATTACTGCAAAAAGTGATTTGTTTTCTAAAATGTATTAACTTAAATTTTATTCTTCTGAAGAAATTTACGTTTTTTAACGTTCATATGCTTATTTAAATCGTATTTTTTAATAGAATTGAGATTTTTCACAATAATTTATCAACATACATTTCTTCAAAAAATGCAAGTCACAAAATGTGAATGAAAAAACTATATAAAATTTAAAAGTACTTTTACAACTGAAAATAGTATATTAAGCAACAAGGGTATAAAGGCAGATTTTTGTGACACGAGTGGATCACAGTGCTCTTGAAATAAAAGCAGGGTTTTTGAAAATGGATGGAAGATTTTCCAACGTAGATTTTTCTTACACGACCTCTAGTTTCCGAATTTTTGAGCCCCGAAATCGTACCTGATCCTATTTTAAAAATACATGTAAATGGGGCAAATTTTCTTAAGCGTACCAATGTCAAAATTTAAAGTTGCTGGATCGGACTAATATTTTCACAGTATTTAGTACTATGAATGAGTACTTCAACCACCAAGCATTATAAAATTTAATAAAAAATTGAAGAGGGGGGAGGGTGTTGAATATTTTGGGTAAGTATGAATAGTAGAGGTGTGCAAAAAGCTCGAATAGCCGAGCCGAGCCGGGCCGCAATTTTTTCGAGCCGAGCCGAGCCCGAGCCGGGCTCGATGTATCGGGAGCCCGAAATTTTCGAGTACTCGATTTAATTCGAGCTTTTAAATTAAAAAAAATTATTAAAAAAAAAATTTAATTAAAAATTAATGTAGAAAATTTTGGATTTTCTCAAGGGCTCGAATTAAATCGAGTACCCGAAAGTTTCGAGTACCCGAAGTTATTCGAGCTTTTTATAAAGCTCGTCTCGGCCCGAGCTCGAACTGAATAGGCTCGGCTCGGCTCGGCTCGAAAAATGAAAAGCTCGAAAATACCCACCCGCTCGAGCTTCGAGCTTTTTGCACACCTCTAATGAATAGTGAATTTTCTAAAAGAAATTGTACCTTTTTATATAATAGAGTAAAAAACAATTTGACCCATATGTATTCGGTGTTTTTTCCTGCTCTTTCAAGAAAGAAATGATTCCTTTTTTACCTGAACAATTTATTATTATTTTGATATTATTTATCATTATTAAGTCATTTTGCAATTAATTTATTATGATTTACGTAAAATTAAATTCTTGTTGATGTTAAAATAATTAGTCATTGTTAAGATAAAAAAGAAATCAGTTCTTCTTACATGAAAAATATAATTTTTTAACGTAGAATTGTATAAATATTTATTTTAACCCTCCGTCAAACACCTAGGGAGAGATTCCCTCTACGGTTTCAGTATTTTTTAAATAACTTTTGTTTTCCTCATTGCAAAATAAAATCAGTTTCTATACCTTTCGACAATTTACTCCTCAACACATTTCTAAAAAGACATTTAGTTTAAATATATAACACAGGCACACAAAAAAAAAAGTGTCGTAGCCGAGACACTACAGTAGTATATTCCCATGTATTTTTGGCCGCTGAATCCGAATCTGAAGTCCGAATGCTCAAATTGGTTCTTTTTTTTGAGTTATACTCAAAAAACGACTCAAAACACGAATTTGAACCAAAAAAATTAAAAATTTTTTTTGTGACATGACAATAGCATATTTCCATGTATTTTTTCCCGCTGAATCCGGATTCGAAGTCAGAATTGACAGATGTGCTCAAAATTATGAGTTAAACTCAAAAAACGACTCAAAAAACCGAATTAAAATGACGAATATGAAAATTTTTTTCTGTGACATTGCAAAAGTATATTCCTATGTATTTTTTCATGCTGAATCCGAATTCGAAGTCAAAATTGACAGATTTGCTCAAAATTTTGAGATAAATTAAAAAAACCACTCATGAATTTTATATACGCTGAATACAAATTCGAAGTTAGAATTATCAGAATGACATAAAATTTTTTAGAACTCAAACCCTGGTTGCAGGTACAAGCATGCATGTTTTTGTGCACTTTTAATGAAATCCAAAATTTTGAGCCACTTTGAAAATTCTGACTTTGGAATCACAGTGAAAAAATACATAGGAATACACAGTGTCATAGCAAAAAATTTCCTTTATTCATATTAAATTACATTTTTATCAGTCTTTTGAGTATATCTCAAAATTTTGAGCAAATCAGTCATAAATCTGTCAATTCTGACTTTAAATGCGAGATCCCATATGGAAAATTTTATTTTATTTTAAATCGCTTTTTTTATCAGTTCTTTGAGCTTATCTCAAAATTTTGAGCAAATCTGTCAATTCTGACTGCGAATTCGGATTCAGCGGGAAAAAGTACATGGGAATATAGTAGTGTAGTGTCATAAAAAATTTTTTTCATCTTAATTCGGTTTTTTGAGTCTTTTTTGAGTGGTTTTTTGCGTTTATCTCAAAATTTTAAGCAAATCTGTCAATTTTGACTTCGAATTCGGATTCAGCATGAAAAAATACATAGGAATATACTTTTGCAATGTCACAGAAAAAATTTTTCATTTTCGTCATTTTAATTCGGTTTTTGAGTCGTTTTTTGAGTTCAGCTCATAATTTTGAGCACATCTGTCAATTCTGACTTCGAATCCGGATTCAGCGGGAAAAAATACATGGAAATATGCTATTGTCATGTCACAAAAAAATTTTTTAATTTTTTTGGTTCAAATTCGTGTTTTGAGTCGTTTTTTGAGTATAACTCAAAAAAAAGAACCAATTTGAGCATTCGGACTTCAGATTCGGATTCAGCGGCCAAAAATACATGGGAATATACTACTGTAGTGTCTCGGCCACGACACTTTTTTTTTTTGTGTGCCTGTGTAATTAATATTTAATTATGAAGCTTCAAAGCCAGAAAAAACTCGAAAATGTGAGGTTATGTTAAATAAAAAAATCAAGTTTTCAAAATATTTTTTGTTCCACTGTTAGTTAGTGACAAAATTTATTATATTATAAATATAATTAAAATGAATTGTTTATTAATTTTTTTGCTTATTTGTTAATGTTACATTATTTTTACATGTCAAGTAGAATTCCTTCACGGAAAGAAAAGGTCTGGAAGAGATATCCATAAAAATATTGTTGAGCAGAATATTGTTGTGTTATCCAATTCAATGGAAGAGACAACTTTCAGAATGGAAGCACATTCCATATTCAATGGATGAGGGAGCCATATTATATTGTTGAATCAAATATGGATGTGACATCCATAGGCATGGTTGGGCTTACAATTCATGCTATGGATTTTCACATATGGCTGCCTCATCCATATAAACTTTGGTTGGGAGATCCATAGTTAGTTCAAAATTTCGATACATGTTGCGCGCAATTCATTATCATGGCATCCATTTAAAAATGGTCGTCTCAATTTGTCCGTCGCGTCGGTTTCCTGTCACGTCTATATAATCGCGTTGTGA